CAGATTGGAAGTGGAACCTAGAGGTAAAGCGGTAATTGAGGCTTGATTTTGTCCGTGGAATTGAGGTAAGTATTTAGTCTAACCTCAGCTTGAAGGAATATGTGTTGTGATCTTATTTGCTATGTGTTAGTATTGAGTATGACGTATAGGTGTGATGATGAGTATCTATACGTTGGTGTCGAGCATGCTCGTAAGTCTTATACCATGATTTGTTATGACTCTTATTACGTACCATCCATGCTTAAATTGATGATTATCAATGTTGAACAAGACTTAGATAAATTCTTGGTAATTGACCATTGTTGAGTGTTGGCTCAAGTTGAGATTTATTTCGTGAAATAACTGTTGGAACGAGATTGGTTATAGCTGAATCCCTTGTCGGGATGTATTTGTTTCTATTGTTGATTCCCTTGCCGGGATGTATTGTTTCTATTGTTTGGGTGAGGAAGAGTGTAAAGCACAAATGGTGATGCCGTGCATGATATTATGAGTGAGTGTTAATGCACGAAGGGTGATGCCGTTCCGATATTATGAGTGTTATTGCACGAAGGGTGATGCCGTGCCGATATTGTGAGAGTTAATACACGAAGAGTGATGTCGTGCCATAATTATGAGAGTTAATGCACGAAGGGTGATGTCGTGCCGTTTCTGTTGTTTTGTATGGTGAGAACGAGAGTAAAAGCACGAAGGGTGATGCCGTGCATGATATTATGAGTGAGTGTTAATGCACGAAGGGTGATGCCGTCCAATATTGTGAGTGTTAATGCATGAAGGGTGATGCCGTCCAATATTGTGAGTGTTAATGCATGAAGGGTGATGCCGTGCCAATATTATGAGAGTTAATGCACGAAGGGTGATGCCGTGCCATAATTATGATAGTTAATACACGAAGGGTGATGTCGTGCCATTTCTGTTGTTTCTTATGGTGAGAACGAGAGTAAAAGCACGAAGGGTGAGGCCGTGCACGTGTTACTATTTCATTATTCTTGTTGATACAAATATGGTGTTCACTATGCTTCTCTATTGAATTACTGTTAGAATTTGATATTCCCCACAGCATGTTCCCTTCCCATCTTTATCTGTTATTTTCTGTAATTATTGTTCTGTTTGTATATGATTTAACTGCATAGGTTTATATGGTTGTCGTGTCCTAGCCTCATCACAACTTCACCGAGGTTAGTCTTGACACTTACTAGTACATAGGGTCGGTCGTACTGATACTGCAGTCTACACTTTTTGTGCAGATTTCTGTGCCGGACCTTGTGAGTAGCTTGAGGTAGCTGCCTTCATTCCAGGGAGACCAAGGTAGATCTGCTGGCGTCCGAAGATCCTGAAGTCCCCCTTTCCCCGCTTTAGTTTTCTGATGTCTCTTCTATTTCGAGAATAGTTGTACTTCTTTCACACTTATATTTGCAGTAAATCTTAATCGTTCGTGGATTGTGACACTAGATCTATGGGGTAGTTATGTACTTGAGTTGTGGCACTGTTACTTCATTTCCGCACTTCTTAATTATTTTGTTTTAATTAATATTTGTCCCTGTTTGGTTAATTATAATGGTAGTAAAGTTGTAACTGTCGGCTTGCCTAGCTTTCACGAGTAGGTGCCATCACAATTCTCGAAGGTGGGAAATCCAGGTCGTGACACCCGAGGGGTGCTTTATCGACTTTTCAAGAGGAATTGTTTTTATGATTATTAGAGTAAATTTTTATTGGTTTGTATATTGTTTTACTAGTTTTGGAACGACGGGCATCAGTTGGAGGTGTTAGAGCTGCGTTGGAGCAAGTTATGGAACTTCAGAGCCAGGTAAGTCTCTTGTCTATCCCTGTGAGGGGGAAATTACCCCTAGGTGTTGTAAATTGATGTGTGCTACTTGTTGTAGGGGTTACGTACACGCGAGGTGACGAGAGCTCGTACATAGCTACATTTATGTTATTGTCCGGGTAGGCTTAGGTTCATATCATGCTATAGCTGTACTATTTGAGCAGTTTCTCGCCTATTAAATTCCTCTGTTTTATATTACTACTTGAGACTAGACTTGCTATTGTAGAGACTTCACGAGTTCATGATTAGTCACTAAATAATTGTACTCCTCTTATGAAATGATTCCGCGATATATATATATATATATATATATATGTGTGTGTGTATGTGTGTGTATGTGTGTGTGTGTGTGTATGTTTCATTGAAAGGCTTTTGTTAAAGAAATTATAACTCACACGTTTATTCGTGAGTGGGGTCAACGACCCATCAAAGCTTCTTATTCTAATGGGATCGGGCTGTTCGCCTAGGCAGGATTATATACTTCACATCTTGTGGGATCGGGCCGATCGCCTAGGCAGGATTTATGTACCACATTCTCATGGGAGCGGGTCGTTCACTTTGTAAGTTTAATAGACGCATCTATGGTTCGTGCTGTTCGACCCTCAGTAGTGCACAATTTAAATATTATGTTGGATCGGGCGGTACGCCTTGGCATTCCTATTAAATATCCTCATGGGATCGTGCGTAATATTTGGCATAAAGCTAGTGTATCTGTGAGTTTTCCTGATTTGAATTATGACAACCTACTTGATGAGATCCACTATATCTATATATATGCTCCGGTTAAGGAGGGAATTTCTAATGGAGATTTGGAGTCTATTGCAAGGAGGAGGATTGTACAATGTATTATGCTCGTTTATTTGTTTTGCCTCATATCTATTTATCATTACTGTACCTGTTATTATCGGACCACTAGTAAGTGTCGATGTCGACTCCTCGTCACTACTCCTCCGGGGTTAGGCCAGATACTTACTGGGTACACATTAATTTACGTACTTATACTACACTTTCTCCACATTTTTTGTGCATGTACATATATGTCTAGTGGCCATGTGGATGTAGAGGTGTGGTATTTATGAGGACTTAGGTGAGTTGAATTCTATGTTACAATCTGCAGCCAGCAGAGTCTCCTTCAGAGTTGTTTATATTTTTCTATCTAATTTATATTTCGGATGTTGTATTTTATTATACGTCCTAGTGATGCTCATGCACTTGTGACATCGGATTTTGGGGATATTTATGGGTTGTTCAGTATTGTGGTTGTAAGAAAATATTATCATTTACTCTGCGAATTTTATCACTTATCATTTAACTAAAGGAAATTATGATTTCAAAATACTAAAAAGAGTAATTAAGTTAATAAATTCTTATTGGCTTGCCTGACAACGGTGTTTGGCGCCATCATGACTTTTAGTGGATTTTGGATCGTGACAGATATATTGGAATTCTTCCACTTAAGGAAAATGAATAAGGCCTTAAATTGTACTACTATTACTATAATTTTAAAAGTTCCTTCCCCCACATAGGTGAAGGACTATAGGCCTATAGCATGTTGTAAGATATTGGACAAGATCATACAAGAGTGATCTCTGGGGGACTAAAGAATCTGGTTGGAGGATCTCAATCAGCTTTCATTGAAGGAAGGAGCATCACTGATAATATCCTATTCACTTATGAGTTATTTAAAGGCTACAATAGGAAGGGTATTTCAGCAAGATGTGTGCTCAAGGTTGATTATAAGAAGGCCTATGGCACACTGGATTGGTACTTCCTGAAATGACTATTGATTGAGTTGGGATTCCCACACAAGTTCATTGAGTGGATCATGGAATGCATAACAACTGTTACTTACTCTTTGACTCTTAAAGGCGGACTTACTAAACCTTTCAAAGGACAGGGAGGAATAAGGCAAGGTGACCCTATGTCACCTTAACTATTTGTGCTTGCTATGGAATATCTACAGAGGGAGTTTGATCGGCTAGCCTTAAGCAATGAGTTTCACTTCGTGATTTACCTACCTTGCCAGTTGACCTGACTTCAAGATTAGTGCAATTTCAATGCCCTGATGGAAGATTCAGCATCAAGAAGTTGTACCAGTTACAGATTCCTCAATTTTGAAAGGTGCTCTAGAAGAGCCTAACCTTACAGCCACATTTGCATCCTAGATACAAATTCAACCTATGTCTGGCTGTACAAGGTAGGATACCTACTATCAAGAGGCTGCAGAAGTTTGGTATTCAAGTACCCCAAACTTGTGTATTCTGTGGTCTAGCTGATGAACAATTTGAGCATCTATTCTTTGATTGTGGATATACAAAGAGTGTTTGGCTTAGGCTCTTGACTTTGCTTGGATGTCCCAGGAAAATAACAACATGGCAAGAGGAGTTAAAAAGGGTGTCCATTTGTGCCAGAAGGAAGAAAGGCTATGCGACAACTATCTCAGTTGTTTTTGGGATGATGATATATCTTATATGAAAATACAGAAACAAGATTAGATTCTAGAGTGGCAGCTCATCCCCAGATAGACTACATATAGAGATCGCATCCACATACATATCAGAGGCAACATATACCCCAGCTAGCAGAAGCATTTGGAGGCATTGAACTGGTTTTCTTAGTATATTTAGGTTTTATAACCTTTTAGATGTATTTTTAGTTCTGCAATTTTGAATAGATAACTATGATGTGTATAGGATATAGACAGAACCAAACACTGTTTTATTGGTCAGTATTGTATAGTAGAGTATAGAGTTGTCATACATAGTTTAGGAATTAGTCAGCAATTCATGGTTTGTAACGAACATTTTGGTTGAATAGAAAGTTGTTTTACCTAACAAAAAAATTATTCAGTAGCATCCCAAGCTCTTCAGCATCAAACTCCATCTCAAACCCCCTTGCAAAACTCTTGACCACTTTGCCCTTAAATTGGAAGTTTGCATAGAACTCCACCACAACAAGCACACACAGAGGAGGGAATACCTTAACAAACATGTGTCTCCATGCCTATAGTTCAAGTTTTTCAACTAACTGAGCCATACCTTTCTCATTTGTGTTAGCAAGAATCTTCCCATTCAACACTTTTCTTTTGAATTCAGTGAGCTTGTCAACCACATCAGGCACAACCTTCTTTTTCTTTCCTTTACTGACTTTCTAAGATGTGGTAGCTGCCCTAGTGGGTTTAACAACCTTCCTCTTTTGTGCTGGTGTCCGCTTTCAGAGTAGAGTAAAACTTATTCCCTTCATCCAACTCAACTACAAGTTCAACAATAAGAGCTTTCTTTCTTGGCTTCTTGGCACCTCTGGACTCCTTAATGATCTTCTCATCAATAGCCTTTCTTTTACTCCTTATGAGATGAGTCTGAGTAGGAGGGGCCACTTCTTTTCTTGCAGGGATAACTGATTTTGTTGTTTTCATAGGGGCCTTCTTGATATTCTTCCCTACTTTAGACAAGGGTAATTCATCCTCATCACTGTTGACCTCCTCATCTCCAGTAAAAGGAGTTAACAAGGCCTACTTTCTTTAGCCTTTTTCTCTCCACTTGCTTCTCTTGAAGGGGATATGACAGTGTTCCCAATAGCCATAGAGCCTTCAGATTACCCACTTGCATTCTTTTCCGCACTATCACGTTTAGTAGTCTCACTTTCACTTCCCTTTTATTCTTCCTCACCATCACCCTCAGAGTCACATTCTTCCTCACTATCTTTTTCTTTCTCTCCAGAATCTTCCACTTGTTCACCTAACTTATTTTCTGCCTCACTTTCCTTTTCCTTTCTAGATTCCCCCTCATTCTCACTCTTTTTCTCATCAGTATCATGAGCCATATACTGATCCTGATACGCCTTATGACTAGCTACCTCTACTTCATCCTCATCCTCAGTCCAGCTGAAAGAGATACAATTAGAAGCCTCTTTATTTACTTGTTATTTATCACATTCCCCCTCAACCACAGGCATGACATTTGTGGTATCCATCTTTTTCTCCTAAGTTGCAATGTCTGTTTCTAAATTAGTTTCCTTCACTCGAGGTTTGTCACTTATGGGTGGAACAATTTCTAAGGGTGCAACTTCAATAGCAGAAACCAAAACATCTAACTTTGATGGAGGTAATTTTACCTGATCAGTAGTAGTTGGCACAGATTCCCCCTGAGCCACAACTTTCTTCACCACTGTGTCCTCCTTAATAGCAGCACAAATTACCACCTTGTCATCCTTAACAGATTTTCTTGATGTAGCAAACACAGGTGCATGTGAAGGTGGTTTTGGGGATGAAGGTCCAGTAGAGGTGGAAACAGCGGGTGCTACAGGAATATGGGATGATTGTGCAAGTACAGTAGAGGGTATAAGTAGAGAGGGAACATGTGCAGGTGCAGGTTCAGTAGTTGATTTTGCACTTTTCTTTGGTTTGGGTTTCATGTTCTTGGGTTTGACTTCAGACTTGGATGAGGATTTTTCTTTAGAGGGAGTTTGGCTTGATTTAAACATGGTGACTAAAGAATGAAACTAATGAAAGAATGAGAGAAATTTTTCTTGATTCTTGCTTAGGGTTTGAGAGGAATAATGAGGTATGAGAGACGGATCACAAGATGGCTTTTAAAGAGGGTAGTCCTGATTTGACTGGAAAAAAGAGAGTTACCAAATTTGAGTTCTAACGGGAATCTAATAACGGTTACTTTTGATTATTAGACTTTTATGAGTAATTAGACTCTAATTGCTCTAGGATTCCCTCTTAATCCTTAAATAGATGACAAATAGGGGTGATGCTAACAAGATTAGAGAGTTTGAGCATAGCAGTAATTTCATATATTAATCCCCAATGAATTAAGACAAGATGGCATGTACCTGAGTCAAAATACCAACTCCTTAGCAATTCCTTACTCATTTCTGCAATAAAGCTTCAACACTATAGATTAGTATCATAAGACATAATTATCGGCTAGACTTTTCTGGGCGAGTTTGTGTGCTCAATACAAGCATGAGACTAAACCAAACACATTATTCTCGACCATCTACATCTAATTATAATTTTTTCTAGCCAATCATTGCGGTATAGTTGAAAGTATTAGTTAGACCCAGTTCCAGTCTATTCCTTTCAAATTGATCCATACTCAGAGCTTTAATAAAAGTATCAACAATTTGGTCTTCAATTTTATAGAAGTTAATTGAGATATTTCCCTTTTCAACATTGTCTCTAAGAAAGTGATGTCTAATATCAATGTGCTTGGTTCTCTTGTGTTGGTAGGGATTTTTAGCAATGTTTAAAGGAATTAGTGTTATCATAGAAAATATGAACACAATCAACAAAAATACCATAGTCTCTTAGCTGTTATCTTATCCACAACACCTGAGCACAACAAGATATTGCTGCCACATATTCTGCTTCAACTGTAGATAAAGCAACTAAGTTTTACTTCTTTTTTCCCTAAGATACCAGGCAAGAACCAAGAAAGTGTGTTGTTCCTAAAGTGTTTTTCCTGTGAATGTGAAAACCTGCATAGCCAACATCAGCATAACCAACTAGATCAAAGTTGTATCCTCTAGGATACCACAGACACATATCAAAAGTCCCTTTAAAATATCGGAGTATCCTTTTGACAGCCTTCAGATGAGACTCTTTGGGATTTGCCTGAAATCTTGCACACAATCCCACACTAAATACAATATCAAGCTTGCTTGCTGTGAGATACAACAATGACCCAATCATTCCTCTATATAGCTTATGTTCCACACTTTTTCCTTTTTCATCAAGGTCCAACTTTGTTTCAATGGAAATGGGAGTGTATATGGACTTAGAAGAGTCCATGTTGAATTTCTTCAATAGTTCTGCCACGATCCAAACCGATGTTCCGCGAGAGGCACCCGGTACCTTACTCAACCGAGTACCAATATAATATCTCTTTTCATGTCATACTGTCATAAATAACTGAGCTGAAGAGGCTGCCGTGAAATATGTAGAATACAACAGCTAATGCCAACTTATACATAAGACATACGGGCCTCTAAGACCAAAATAACCACTTGAACACTAAACATAGGCCGAAAAGGCCATACGATCTTTTACGTACATGACATCTGTCTACAAGCCTCTAAGAATACATAATTTTCATAAAGGTTGGGCCAGAGTCCCGCCATACCAAACAATACACATCTAACTCATACTAACCAAACAAGTAACGCCGAAGCAAATGGAGTGCACCAATATCTTCCGCTGAGCTAATAGCCTACTTGGAGGGCTCTTGACCTGTCTATCGGGACTTGCGGGCATGAAAGGCAGCGTCCCCAGGCAAAAAGGGATGTTAATACATGTACTAAGTATGTAAGGCACATAAATAAGTACATAACAGACATGGAGGAAATATAGAGTAAATGACTCAACCTATAATTCTGGATAACTTTGTAAATCATGAAATAATTATAGTGTCATGCATATGCGTATGAATGTCATGTCGTGCATAGGTACATATTTCATAACATCATCAGCCTCTAAGGGCGTCCCATCATATCATCTCGGCCACTGTGGGCAATATCATCAACGTATACATGCTGATCAGGTGGTGGTGCGTATATAATGCCATAACCTTTTCCATATCCCATATACTTATACATACATACATATATATGCGTATATAATACTATCTGGCCATGAGTCAATATACATGAATACAATGCATGAAAAGTACGCTAATAAAATCTCTTGGAGTGTCATAAGACCATTATGCCTTTAAATAATATCACAAAGTAAAATTTTTCAACTTACGTATTTTTCTAAAACTCATGAACAGATTATAGAATAATATGACACATGGAGAATCAAGAACATAAGCATCTCTAGCATTTCTATGAATAGAGTCATTTATGGAAGTTGTGTATTTGCACGTTTCGTTTGCATTGTATGGATCATGCCAAAAGAAAGAAGGGATAGACTTAATATACCTGGACCGATTCTCTTGACAATTCCTCCGACACACATCTATTGTGACATTACGTAACGGAGGATCGAAGTAGGGGGAAAATCCGTATGCTATTCTTGGGAAAGATTGCACCGTACTTCCTTAGAATCGCAAATATCACGTAGCTATAGCATTGTAAAGGTTTCATATGAATTCTTGTTGAAGCACGTTACTATCATGTATAACCTTGGATGAAACTTTCTTGCTGATCCTTTTCAATGATTAGTAGAGACATAAAAATAAATTAGAATCGTTTGTTTTTGTTTTTTAAGTCTTTAGGTGTGGGCCCCACACTTTTCATGACTAAACTACATAATCCTTTAGTTGTGACACCTTTCCATATGATTCAAGAGTCACCAATTGATTGTTTATCCAATGTCATGGGCTACCACGTTGGTGTTTAAAAGGTTTATCCAAAAATTATCAACTTAACTCATTAATTAATTTGTTAACCTCTCATTAACTAATAATTACCCAATTATCCATATAATTAGGAATTATCTCAAACTACTTATAATACTACTCGCTTTTAACACACCTTATACACCTTACTATCATGGCTATATGGTACCTTGTATGAGACTAGTCCATAAATGCCAGATATTTTAGCTCGGGCCGTATTTTATTCCAAAATATCCAACTTCGATGAAATTCATTTTCTTCGATTTGCTTGCCCTCTCACCTTTATGAATTTACTCATCACTTGTTTGAAATAGCATAATTCTTATAATCTTCAAATAATTTTTTCCTTGGACTGATGTCAATTACCTTATGACAAATTCAACGTACAATACTATAGGGTGCAACATCGTCGTAATTTAATACTGCGAAGTATAACATCACCGTAATGTAATACTACAGGGTATAACATTGTCATAACTTAATACTGCGAAGCGTAACATCATCATAATTTAATACTACAAGGGGTAGCATCATCGTAATATAATACTGCAAGACGTAACATCATCGTAATATTGCGGGGTGTAACATCATTCTCCCATTTGGAACATTCGTCCTCGAATGTTGACTGATGCTCTTATCATTTTAATAACTTATAGCTCTTGTGAATACCTTAATACTTTCCTTGACATTTAAGTAGCTGCTCTATGAATAAATCCAAAGTCTAGGGTATTCCCCCCTTTAGTCGTTTTGCTCATATCATGACTTGTGATCGAAATCTTTCTAATCTCGCAACTGCTGCTACCTCCTATCATGCAGCCTGTATGACCCTGGCTTTGTAAGTGCACTTATGCGATTCATTTTTCCTCTTTCCTTTTAGCTTTTAGTCAATCTCTAGGCCTTACTTTGTAAACATATACAAAGCTTAATAGGATGCCTTTCTAGGCATCTATAGGTGCACGGAAGTTCTTCGGTCGGTACTTTGTAGAACTTGCCAATTTAGCCATATCTTATTTCATAGATCTGTTTATCCATTCATATGACTTTAATGCATATACGTAGGTCATACTATACTATAATTCTTACTTTGATTTATCGTTACTGAAGTCTACAACCAACTCCAGGTTACTCTCGTTGCTTATCCTTAAGACTGATGGTCTAATCTCATCTCATACTGTTGAACTTTTATCCATCTATATTTGATTCACCTTAATATTGATTTATCATCTACCACTGATAACTTGATCTTTTATGTAACACCGTAGCGGGCTCGCGTCTCATCGGGGACATCTAGAGTAATTATATTGACCCACCTAGGGGTGATACCATACTTCCATAACCATACTTTATAGCATCCCAATGTGACTCACCTTATATGAGTATTTTAGTCCCTTACAATTCATGAAATCCTCTTCCCCCTTTTTTTCTTTCTTTTTCTTTTTCTTTTTCTTCTTCTTCTTCAAATCATTACTCAAGCGAGGCTCAAACGTGATCCTTTATTTATCACAACTACACCCTCATTCTGCTACTAGGGAAGCATCCCATCTATTATAATGTTACTATTCGTAGACTCCTTTGAGTTCATCCAGGCAATATTGAGCTTTTTATAACTTAGAGGAACCATCAGCTCCTTTGTTTTCACGGGCTTAGTCCCGAGGACTTATTCATTTTCATCACCTTCTCACTTGCCTCTTCTTATCCTTACTCTTGTCTTTCTAAAACCTTGTCATTCTTGTCACACCTCCTTTTTACCCACCCCCGGAAAGGGGTATAAGGGAGTTTTTTCCAATTTAAGTGACAATTTTAACAAGATTATTTATTTAAAAATTTAGAGTCGCCATTGGGATAATTTATGGTGTCCCAAGTTACCGGTTCAAATCCTGAATTGAGGAAAGATAACTCTAATTATGGTCTGCGAACACAAAAATTCTAGTAAGGAATTCTGTTAATCCGGGAGAAGGTGTTAGGCATTCCCGAGTTCCGTGGTTCTAGCACAGTCGCTTAACTATTAATAATGGCCTAATTATCTGATGTAGTTACACATTTTAAACCTATTGTAAAATTTTAACCTTATAACCGCTTTTACTTATTTATGGAATCATTTAAAGAACAAGTCACGATTGTCGTACACTTGTCATTTTGGTACATATTGCGAATCGTGTCACGGGAATCGTACCCATGACCCACAACATGTTTATTTTAATAACAAGATTAAATTGTGGCCGGGTCACATAAATGTACCCCCGGATTTTAGAATTTAAGTGTCAGAACTACGTCACGAGAACCGTACCCGTAGATATAACAATTATTTAATTAACGTACCTAAGGCAACTACGAAAGTTCAAGGTATTTTTTACACTAGTCAAGATAATTAATATGAGGGCCATAGATTATGGATTTTGTTTGCGTATGGCACACCTCAATTATTTTAAAAGAAAATATTTGTATTTCGCTAAGGCTAACCAAAAACACTCCTACTTATATCTAATTTTAAAGAAAAACTAAGTATCACAACCACATCACGGGAACCGTACTCGTAGTTGTAATAATTTAGTTGTGTGCCTAAAGCAAACTACAGAATTCATTTTTAATATCTAAGTTATAAGATATGAGGGCCATAGATTATATGATTCAAATGTATGAATGTCACGCCTCAAAACTATTCAACTAAATGAACTAGGATATTTATATTAAAACTAATTTGAAATTAGGTGTCACAACTACGTCACGGGAACCGTACCCGTAGTTGTGATGGTTTAATTACATGCCTAAAGCAAATTACGAATGTTCATGGATATTAATGGCCTAAGCATTCTCCTAGCGAACAACGTAATGGAAGTAAAATAAATACTACTAAAAGGAAACTAATTTCATGCTCATTCCCTTTTCAGCTTTCCATTTCACGTATTAGACCCAGCCCGACTCCTAAAACATGTGAACAAATTTCAGTCACCGTGGGATAGGTATTCCCAATTTCCACGTCCCAAACTTAATAAATAAGAGATACCCTACAATGAAACATATGGTATTCACAACAAGCAAAACACCAAGAAAGTGGAGAGACGATGTGAACAGCAAAGCAACCAATGCAACCTAAAATGTAATATGGTCCTTTGGTACTAGCAGTACTTAGCATGGGCAGGGAAATGGCTAAATGCATAACCGAAACCTTTAATTAATGACCTTTCGACCCAAAGAGAGGAAATTGAACACAAACTAAAGTGAATTGAAAAAATTAACTGTAAAATTCTCACACTAACTGACATTAGAAGAAAACCTCATCAATGTAATTGAACACTAATACTAGGGACATTGTAATTTTCAAACACTTAATCAATTTGACAATCTGACCTCAAGGCTCATTTTTTTCAAAAAAAAAAAAAATTAAACTATGGAAACGCTTACCCATTAAATGAGTACCTAACTGCAAAAGATATGGAAGGAACAACGAGAA